TTTGTTTTTCTTTTTCCTTTTTAAAAGTCTATTCTTGTGTTTTAAAAAGAGAACCAAAGCTTCTTATTACAGAGAGAGTAGCTAGCATTCCTCTGGGTCCCCAGAGATGGCATTTCCTGTCCCTTTTCTGACAGGAGAGAAGAGCACTGGTGACTTCATCCTGGGCTCCCAAAGCGGTCCTTATATCTTTGTCCTGGAAACAATCCCTCTTTATTCAGAGCGGTGAGGGCACGGTTCTCCAACACACTCCCTCACTGTCCTGAGAAGAAGCACACTGCCATTGTTTGTTCGTAAACAACAAATGCATCTGGCAAATCTACTTTATTTGTTTAAGTTTTCTAACTGTTCAAACCACTGTTTTCCCTCCAAGGAGCCAGCTGGAGCTGATGACCTCTTCCTGAGGTCAGTCATGCGCAGAAGGACGGGGAGGGGAGTGTGGGTCTCTGTGGAGGAGGGGTTGGGGACACACATGGCAGAAGAAAGGCTGCAGGGAGCATTACCTCATGCTCAGTGTTTGGGTATTGTTAATGGTGGGTAGTGCATCTCTGGCGTGTCTTTATGGAAGACATCCAATGTAAGGTGTACAGCAAAAGTGAACACTTCCCACACACTTATATAACAGATAGCCAGAGAACTTCCTGTCTGGGTTTTTAGTCAGAATTATCCAACATATTTTTTTTTTAAGATTTATTTATTTATTGAGACAGGGTCTCGCTCTGTAGCTCAGGCTGGCCTGAAACTCTCAGAGGACCATCTGCTTCTGCCTCACTAGTCTTAGGGGTAAAGATGTGCCGCTGCACCTGGTGGCTGCTTTTATTGTGTCTGTGCATGTGAGTGCAATGGCCGCAGAGGCCAGGAGGGGGCGTTGGACTCTCCTGAGTGGGAGTTACAGGTGAGCTACCTGGCATGGGCGCTCAGAGCTGAATGCCCGGGCCGTCTCTCCAGCCTCAACTTTTCATTTTTAAATTTTCATATCTGTTTATTTATTTTATTCTTATTTTTGTGTGTCTGTGTTGGGCTGGTACAGGGAGTTGAGCCCAGTTAGGCTTTACTACTAAGCTGAATCCCCGTCCTCTTTCTGCTTTTTATCTTGAGACAGGGCTATACTAAGTTGCCTCAACTTTCCCATCTTCCTGCTTCAGCCTGTGCGTTTAGGGGTTCCATTTGTACACCACCTGTTGGCTCCATCTTTGAATCTTGAAGTCCTTTTCAACACACAGCAAAACCCTGCTGCCTTGCTTGGCAAATGTGGAAGTGGTTCTCTGGAGAGAAGACCCCTGGTGGGGTGTGGTTAACTCTCCTGGTTTGAGATGGACTTTCATTTCCATCCTGACTGCCTTTCTCTTCCACCAGGACATCCTTCCCCCTTCTTCCTGGCCTCCACTCCTTCCTTTTTACAGGCTGTGCACAGCTTCCTGTCCACAACCCCCTGCAGGGTTCTTCTCACCCTGTAATCGGCCAGCTGCCTGCTTCTCTTAGCCTTGCCCCTGGCTCCCTCACTCTAAGCCTGAGGCTCTGTCCTCCCTCCCCTGCCCAGTGTCCCTTAGGAAATTAAAAAGTGAAGGCTGGAGGGACCAGACCTTGGAGGCTGTAGAGACCAAAGCCTGAAAGGCTGGAGCTGGAGCGCTGGTTCCCAGCTGAGGAGCTGCAGAGCTCCTGGATTTATGAGTCCCTAGTGTCCACAGGGAAGACTGCAGCTATTTCTAACCCCAGTCTGGGGGTCCCAGGCCTCCTTCTGACCTCCTCAGTATCATCACGCTCAGGATACACAAAACACATGCACTCAAAACTCTTGGACTTATAAAATTAAAATAACAAAATAAAAGAAACTTTAATCTTTAAAACAAAACAAAAAAACAGGATGTTCAAAGTTGAACTTAGTCAGAACTCCAGTGACCTCCTTCAGACAAGAACTTGACCCTTCATAAAGTATTATTGTTCTGGCAAAAGGCTGGCTTTGTCCCCTCCCCCAGCCTTCCCCAGCACTTGGTTGTCACCAGACTCTGCTGAGTTAAACATCTGAGTAAGGGAGGCCCAAAAAAGGAGGTTTGGCAGAAGCCCAGAGTAGGACATTAGGGACCTTGTACTTCGTGTTAGTCACTCGGCCAACCAGCCTTACCTTGACAGTTAGGAGGCACGTGGCCATCAGACTGGCTAACAAGGGAAGATTTACCCAAAGGAGCGTGTAGGGGCCGAGGAGATGGCTCAGAAGATTAATAACTATTTGCTTTATAAACATGACCTGAATTTGAATTCCTAGTGTGTAAAACCCTAGTGAGGTGGTGCATGCCTGTAACCCATCGAGGGGAAGCAGAGGTGGACAGACCCCAGGAGGTTGCCCACCCGCCAGTCCCCAGAACCAGTGAGCTCTAGGTTCAATGAGAGATCTCCAAAACAGCAATAAGATAGAGAGTGATGGAGGAAGTCACTGGCCTTTGACCTCTGCCCTTCCAGGTGCACTTACACATAGAAGGGCATTTACCAGGACAACCAGGAGGGGAACTGCTCCTGCCCCTTTCTCAAAGTCAAGGGTGAACCCCTGAGGAGCTCAGTTTACTGTGTCCTTGGTCAAGAGACTCAGCCAAACTGGAAGCCTCGCTGACTGGGCAGCTTCAGGCAGCAAATCTAATCAGACCCGGGGGCAGAGCTCTTTACCCAGCAGGCACAGGTCCTGTGGCTTCTGGCCACTCAGTCAAGGCCTGCTGATTCCATTAGTGTCTGTTGGAGGTGTGTTAAAGGGAAATGGTAGTTTTAGGATGCTGAGAGAGAGAGGTGCCATTTTCTCTGTGTAGCTATAGTGAGTTTGTTGTTGTTGTTGTTTGTGTGTTTGTTTTCCTAGAGCTTTCATCCTTGATGGTCTCTCCCGGCTTTAACTACCCACCTAATGAGGAGGCTTCTCTGGTGGATGTGTCATGCTAACCCTTCTCAGCTCTCAGACCCCAGGCCACACTGGACTGAACTCTGGAATCTTCTGCCCCTCCCCCTTTTCCTCCCTCTGAAACTCAGGCCAAATGCAGGGTCATTCTGAACTTTTAAAAAAGAGACTTTATTTATCAGGCATGTGTGTAACGGTGTTCAATTGGAGGTCAGAGGACAGCTCTGTGGATTTGGTTTCTCCTTCTTCCTTGAAGGACTCTGCTAAGATCTCTTTGGGATAGGGTCCAGGACACCTGTGGACAGGGACAGCACATGGTTAGAGGTCAGAGGACAGCGTTGGGAAGCTAGTTTCTCTCCTTTCACCAGGTGGGACCCCAGATGGAACTCTGGGTATCCATCTTGGCATCAAACACTTTTATCCACTGAGCTATCTCCAAGACCCAGGACTTCTGTTAATTCATATCTGATTCTGAACTCCCAGTGGCTTGACCAATCAGAGGACATCTATGGTCGCTGCTGGTGGGGCTAGCATTCAAGTGCTTGGAGTCCTTTCACTTACAGTGTCACCAGGCAACAGCCTCCATTCTGGAGTCTTCCTTCACATCATCCAAGTTCAGACTCACCATAGTCTCTGTTCAGTCAGACCCCAAACCACCAGTCCCCCTCTCTAGGCTCATTTCCTTCTAGCAACTTGCCCTGACCTGGCTCTCTGGGGTCCTTGGAAGTTAACAGTAGTCACATAGGCCTGCCTGCCATGAGGCCTTTCTGTTTTAAAAGATTCTAGAGCTACTGAGAAAGCCCAACTGATAAAGCTCAATCCCTAGGGACCCACCCACTGGAAAGAGAGAACCAACTCCAGCAAGTTATGTTTTGGCCTCCACATGAGCTACGGCATCCACAACTCCATCACACGGATCATATGCACAGCCAAACACAGTAATCATTCAACACTTTAAAGGTTCTAAGGTGCAATTTCTATTCACAGAAAGTCCACAGCACTGTTTACACCTTCAACATTTGTATTCTCCCTGTTTCTAGGAACAAAGCAAGTATCCACCAACCAGTGAGCAGCTACCTACATGTGGTCCATCTTTTTTTTTTCAGTGGAATATTATTTAGCCAGAAAAAGAATTAGTGGGCAGATACATACTTTAACAGGATGAACCTTAAAAGCATCCTTTCATGTAAATAGGAAGAAATAAAGTCAGGAGAGGCTGGGGGACAGCTAAGAAGTATAATTTTTCATTCGTGGGAGTGAAATAATGACATGTTAATTCACCAATGCTCAAAAGATGACCCCAGTGATTGCTGTATGCTTTTCTTTTTAGATGGGGTCTCACTGTGCAACCTTGGCAGGCCTCAGGTACCCTCCTCCCTCTGCCTTCCCAATGCTGGGACTAAAGGTGTGTGTCACATCTCCTGGTGTGAGGGCTATCTCAGTGAGGCAGGTCTGTTGTTTTTGCAAGGAACACACGATTTCACATTCACTATTGCTGTGTCTGAAACTTGAGCTCCTCAACCGGTCTTATTTTCATTTCCCCTTAACTTGTTTATCATTTAAACTTTGGTTGTTGTTTGAGACGAAGGCCTCACTTGGGTCTAGAGTCTGGCTTGAACTTCTGGAAATACTCCTGCATCAACCACACTTGTCCTGGATTACCAGCCTGAACTCTTACATTCCTTGGGACCACACTGACTAGGAGTTCAATGTTTGTTTATTTGTTTTGCAGGGCCTCACTCGTACTAGGCAGACACATTTCCACTGAGTTGCACCTCCAGCCCAGGTGACGCCTAAAGGCTACTCAGGGGGCTGGAGAGATGGCTCAGCAGTTAAAAGCCCTTCTGCTCTTGCAAAGGACCTGAGTTGGGTTTCTAGCCTCCAGCTGGTGACTCACAACTATCTGCAGCTTTAACCCCAGGGGATTTGATGCCCTCTTCTAGCCTCCTCGGGCACTGCATAAACATGGTGCATGCGCATGCACACACACAGACACACACACACTCGGAAAACACACACATATAAAAAAATTCTTTAAAGCCACTTAAGTAGATGGAAAGTCTTTCCTCCTTCCTTAGCATGAGGAGGGGGGATGCTGACCCCTGCTCTGTTTTCTGCTTCACAGAATTTCCACGACGGGCGGAAGGCTCAGCAGCACATAGAGACGTGCTGGAAGCAGCTGGAGTCGGTAAGTGGGTAGCCGGAAACTGGCAGCTAAACCAGTGTCTCTCCAGACCAGCTCATTTCAATCTGGATCTCACTTGAATGGCTCTCTAAGGAAAAAAAAAAAAAATCAGGCAGAGACCACTTAGGAGGCTTCTTTCTTTCTAGGTTTTTCATTTGTATTTCATTTAATCTGTTCCTAGAACTATTATGGCAAACAAAATGCTGAGCTAGAAATGCCTTGAGGAGGGCTGGAGCGGGTAAAGCATTTTCCGTGGGACCATGAGGAGCTGAGGTTGGATCCCTGGCACCGCTTAAAAAATCTGGGCGTGGCAGCACACACCTATAATGCCAGCCCTGGGGATGCAAAGACAGGAGGATCTCAGGGGCTCACTGTCCAGGCAGGCAGCCTAGCATATCAGTAAACTCCAGGCTTAGTGAGACATATATCTCAGAAAGCAAGGTGACAAGCTGAGCAGTCACAAGCACCTGTTGCTCTTGCAGAGGACCTGGTGTGGTAGCCAGTGCCCATGCTGGGTGTCCCACAACCACCTGTAATTCCAGTTCCTGGGGAATCCAACACCACTGGCTCTGAAGGCACCTACACCACACTCCGATGCACACGTAACCACACGCAATCAAAAGGAAAAGCAATCTTTATTTATTTGTTTGTTTGTTTATTTATTTATTTAAAACAGAGTAGAGAGTGATTGAGAAAGATAGCCAGCTGGTTTGACCTCTGACCTCTTCATGTGCAAGCAGCAGGTGCTCACACTCATTAAAAAGTGTTCTGGTAGAGGCGGGTAACTCCTGTGCAGAGACAGAGAGGGGTCATTCCAGTATGGACAAGTGTTTAGGTCACTTCTGGAAAGGACGAAGCATGAGGGGTGGGTTCCTGGGAGAATGGCCGTGGGGGGTCTCTCTAGAGGTGATGAGGTGGCAGGGTGGGTGGGTGGGTGACCAGCAGGCTTGGCTGTGTTCTGTCTGCAGAGTAAGAGGAGGTTTGAGCGTGACTGTAAGGAGGCCGACCGGGCACAGCAGTACTTCGAGAAGATGGACGCTGACATCAACGTGACCAAGGCAGATGTGGAAAAGGTGAGGGGTCCCAGTCTCACTTCCCTGGAGCGTGCTTCCTACACAGCCGCTGAGAGGCCTGGCCTTGGCTTCCTCTTTCAGACATAACCACAAGCGGGTACCTGAGGGGAGGAAGGGTTTCATTTTATGTCATCACCCTGGGACCAGGGTTGAAGTGACGTGCTTAGTCACCAACGAGTCTAATGGGGAGACCTGGACGCGTTCCCAACAGGCGTGGTTCAGGAGGCCACGCTCTTCCTTAGTGGCTTGTCGAAGGCCGAGTTCCATGTCTAGGGAGCTGAAGCAGCTATCTCAGTCTATGAAGGTTTAGTCTGGCCGCTCAACATCATTAGAAAGGCTGATCCCTCTGCCTAGTTGTGTCATGGGTTCATTCGGGCTGATACCCAGGAGGCTGTGATGAGAGGGGCATTCGACAGACAGAGAGCTCTCCTCTCTGAGGGCTCAGACATAAAGTGCTCCCTTGTCTTCCCCAGGACAGGGTGTGTGGATTTTCCCTAGAAGCCCATTTTCTTTTTATGAAAGTCATCAAGATAATGTAAACACAATCATGCCTTTAAATGGTGGCATTCATTCATGGTGCCCAGGGCCATTTGGGCATTGCGGTCTGAGCTTTCCTCTGGAAAAGCTTTTCATGGTACCACTTGGTTCTGCTGGATGAGTTCGAAATGCCTCCAGTTGTGCAGCGTCCCAGTTGGAAGGGTGTATGTGTGTGTAATTTCTCAGCATACTGAAATGCATATTCGTGACATTATGCGGGTAGACTTGACTTTACCAAAAGACATTCACTTCTAAGTGACCATACTTACCATAAATTCCTACTAGCTAGGAATTTAAGGTGTTGCTTACATTTCTTTTAAAGTTGCAATCATTTGTTTATGTGTGAGTATCTTTGTGACCAGTAGCACTCATGTGGCCTGGGCAGAGGGTCACTTTACTGAGGGGGTTCCACCCTATAGGGCCCAGGAACCCAGGAATCATCGAGTTGATGGCAGACAACCCCTCTTCAGATTTTAAAAATGTTACCTAGTTGAGAGTGGTGCTTTCAAGCCTGAAATCCCATCACTTGGGAGCAGAAGCAGGAGGGTCAGGTGTTAGAGGTTAGCTTTGGCTTACAGTGGGCCTGACTCCATTCTAGGGTGTATGAGGCTCTGTCTCAAAAAAACTGAAAAAGTCTGGACAAGAGAAATGGCTTTGTGAGAGCCAGTGGCTGCTCTTCCAGAGAGCCTGGGTAGGAGTCCCAGCACCCATCAACACTGTTTCTGAGACCTTAACTCTCGGATGTCTAGAATGTAGGCTATTTATCACTATCGGAGCCTGGAGCCTCCCACGGTGACCCTGGTTCGGCTTTCCGGCTGCAGCCAGTGCTGGTGATAGTCCTCCACTTCCTCCGTCTTTGTGCTTTGTAATTATTTTTCTTATCTTCTTCCATGCTCTGTGACCTCCTTGTACAGAGAGCAGTAGTCTTTGTGGCTTTCTTTATCTTCCTCTTGATTGTGGAAAGTACTTCAGCATTTTTTCCACTTAAATTGTAAAGGCAGAGGCCTCTAATCAGAGCACATGGGAGGTGGAGTCAGGAGGACTGAGGTTCAAGGCCAGCTAGGGCTACTGGAGACCTTCACTGAAAACAAAAAGAATGGAAGGGAAGGGCAAAGGAGGGAGGAGGAAGTCAGAGACTGATTTTAGTATCTTTTTTGTCATTGAAGAAATGTGGCTCTTTCTTGTTTTGCCAAAATATCTTTATTTTACTTTGTGTGTGGGCATTTGCCTAAATGTATGTTTCTGTGCCATGTGTGCACAGAGCCTGCAGAGACCAGAAGAGGGTGTCAGATCCATCGGAGCTGGAGTTACCTCGGCATAGACCCTGAGGAACACAGACTCCCCGAGAGAGGAAACTCCTAACCACTGAGCCATCTCTCTGGTCCCCATTGAATGCTTTATTCTCTGTTCCTTCTTTGATCCTGGTGGATTTTTATTTTCTCTGAAGCTGAAGCTTGTTGCTTTGGCACAGCTGCCTCGCAGCCAACCCCTGGGTCTGCCTGCCTCCACCCTGCTCCACACTGAGGTGACAGGTGAATGCCCCTGCCCCTGGTGGGCGTGGTTATTAGCGTTCTTTGCTTGTCTTTTTTTGTTTATAGTCCTGAGAAAGCAAACTCTGGTTTCATGCTAGCACTTCAGACACTTTACTGACTGAGCCATCCCCTTACCCCCAGTGTAGGATGTTTGATGTTACTGCTAAATTGAATTGTTATTACTTGCATATTTCTATGATTTATCTCTCCTGACCATGAAGCATTGGTTTTGTTATTGTTGTTGTTTTTCCTGAAAGTTCCATGGCCGCCCTCCCCAGGAATGTGAGGATCCTAATTTGGAAGCCACAGATAAAAGACCACAAGCATTGATGTCCAAACACTGAATATTTTAAGTCCTTTTGCTTTGAAGGTGACCTAAAATATGCTGTCCACTGCAGGCCACGTGGAGACATGATGTCAGCTTTTCTCATTGAATTCCCTGTTGTTATCTTTGCTTTGTTTTTTAAAACAGGTTTCCCTACTTAGCCTTAGCTGGCTACCCTCCTGCCCCAATCCCCAAATGCTGAAATTTCAGGGGTGCATGGCCACACTCTGCTTTCCATTGTTACTTCCGACAGTCTTTGACTCTACACAGATGTCTCTCTCTCCTAATTTCCTCAGATTAAGTGATCTAAATGTGTTTGACTCAGCTCACCTTCCTGACCTAGCAGCCAGCCATACAGTTTATAGAACGCTGTGATGTGTCTCCCAGGATACACTTGTGTAGACTCTAGATTGTGCCTGACCGCCCAGAGCATGTGTATGTACTATAAGTTTGCATGAATGTCTGGGTCTAGGTATGAGCTGAATCTTCTTTTCTTCCTGAAGACGCCACTGTCCCTCTTACTGTGGCTCTATGTCGTGATTGTCACAGTACTGTGTTCAAACTTCCTGCATAAACAGTCCCCTCCCACCTTATGACAGGAGCCTGGTAATTCCCTGGAAGGGTTTTGTTTCTCTCTGGGCAGGAGTGTGTATTTGTTTGTTTTGTTTTTTTCTTTTTTGTTTTTCGAGACAGGGTTTCTCTGTGTAGCCCTGGCTGTCCTGGAACTCACTCTGTAGACCAGAAATCCGCCTGCCTCTGCCTCCCAAGTGCTGGGATTAAAGGCGTGCACCACCACCGCCCGGCTTTTTGTTTGTTTGTTTGTTTGTTTGTTTGTTTGTTTTTAGGAGTGTGTATTTGGAATTACCTGGAAACTGTTTTCTCAGAGGTCTGGTGATGAAGAAGAGGACATGCTGCATGTTGTCCTTCGACCTGTCCTTTACCTTTATCGGAGAGTCCAGGCTCACCAGTTTTCAGGGAGTTCAGTTGCTTGATCTTGATATGTTAGAATCTAAATATGTTGGAATATATCTTCTGGTTTTAGTAAAAACAGATCTTATCCTTTCCCAAGCACAAACCCTCAAGTTCCCTTTTGGGGCTGGGGAGATGGCTCAGTGGGTGAAGGGCTTGCATTGGATACCCATGTAAAAACCAGGCATGGTAGTGCATGCCTGAGTCCCAGCACTTGGGAAGCAGAGCCCAGTGGATCCTGGGGGCCAACCAGCCAGTCCAGCTAAGAAGAGCACATCACATGGGGGCAGCTCCATGAACTTTATGAAACTACTGAACAAGATAGGGGATACCAGCCAGGGGATACCTCCCTTAGGCCTTGGTCCTACCCCAGAGATAGGAGGTTTTAGTATTTGTTTTAGAGGTTTGGTTTTGTATTTTACTTTTGGAGACAGGGTCTCCGTTTGAAGACCAGGCTGGCTCTAATAAGTACCAGGATGACAGCTTATTGCATGCTGAGCATGGAGCCCGTTCCCTAAGCATGCCGGGCAAGCAGGCTACACAGCAACAGGGCTACACACCCAGGCCTACGTCTTATTTTTCAGAAAATGTAGCAAGTTGATGGGAGCTCTAATATTTGAACTGTTTGAATTCATTCATGGCCCTTTGTTCTTTACTGCTGGCGAGGTGTCAAGACAAGACATCGCCATTGCGGCCATAAAGGGACTTGCCCTCTGGCCTCCCCGATGCTCAGTGAGCAGTGACATTTCCCGTAGAAGACTCTGGAATGACTTTCAAGTCGCAAAAACCATGATGTTAGGGTTGCTGTGACATACTTAGAATCAAGCCACGCTGGACGAGCACGGCAGAGGTCGTCCTAGAGTTCCAACAGTGCCATGGCTTGCAAGCCCTGCAGGGGTTGCGAGGGGAAGGTCGTCAAAACTAACCGCCTGTAAAGTAGCTTCCCAACAGAAAGAGCACTGTTTTCTAAACATCCATGTTAAATTTGAGGCCCTGGTGGAAAACCTGGCCCTGTCATGTGACTGCTGTCTCTTCTGAACTGCTACTGCAAGACAGAGCATTGTCTAACAGAATCTGCAGTCAGTGGCCACAGGCAGCTGCAGAAATAGAAAGTAGTAGTTGAGTTAGGTTTTTTATTTGTTTTTTGTTTGTTTTTATACATTATAGTATCAATTTCTTGTTTTTCATGTGCTCTGTGTGTGTGTGTGTGTGTGTGTGTGCGCGTGTGTGTGCACGCGTGTCTACCACAGCGTTCTTCAGAAGTTGATTCTCTCCTACCCTGTGGGTGCTGGGAATAGAGCTCAGGTTGTCAGGCTTGGTAGCAAGTGTCTTTACCACTTGAGCCATCTCCTTACCCTTTACCTTCCTTGGAGATATGATTCTTCTGTGGCTATAAACTAAATTTATGGGTCCCACTTAGCCTCAAAAAGTTCATGTGGTTCCTTTTCACACTTCAAGAGTGGTAACTAGTCAGAACTCTCTAGATACTTAATGTTAGCTCCCTCCCTCCCATTCTTCCTTCTTCTTTTGTGTGTGCGTGAGGGGAGGTGAAGGGGGAGAGACAGGGTTTCTCTGTGAAGTCCTGGATCTCATTTTGTGGCCCATGCTGGCCTCCAGCTGAGATCCGCCTGCTAGGA